CTTGCCATGCTAACGCCCTTCCAGTTTACCCCCGCTGTTGCCCCTGCTGCTATCTGACTGCACCCTTACTCCCATGACCACCTGTCTTGTTACCTTCCCACGAAGATGCCCCTGCTTCTACCAAGGGTCTTTTAAAAAACTATTATTCTAGAAAAGCCATCTTCATTAAGATCTCTACTCACTATATGATCATTTCAGACACTTCCTTCTCTTATCATGATAAATAAAATAACACTACCTTTCTCTAGGGTCACTCTCCACTTTGCTTTTCTTCATAACACTTACCATACTTAACATAGCATCTTACTATGCTTGCTATACTTAATATTTATTTAATGTTTGTTCTCTACAAAGTATAATTTCTATGAAGGCAGTGGTTTTATTTACTTCACTGCCTCATCCACAGTGCCTAGAACACTCACTACTACATAGTAGGCGCTCAGAAAATATCTCTTAAATGAGTGTACAGTGCTCTTTCACATCACAGCCGCCTGGAACTTCCCAGAGCCTGCTTGAGCTGAAGTGCACCTGGGAGAGTTTCGCCTCCTGCCAAGGGGAGCCAGGCTGGAGCCTGCAGGTAGGTGAGGGTCGCACACAGCTCAGCAATCAGCACTTAGCTGTCACCACACAGTCACCTGTTGCACCTTAATTCTTCTTACTCAAACTCAGAGGAAAACAAGGCATGCTCAAAAAATATGGAAAGAGGCAAGGCCTTCACCCACCTCTCGTGTTGTGGGAATATAAGTCTCATCTACTGACAGAAGGAGAGATTTCAGTTGTCCTGCCTTGAAGAGTATGCATACACATGAAAGTTTGAGAAGAAAATTGAAATTGTAAACCAGAAAATGAAAGAATAATGATTCTGTTACAGTACAGTCCTGTTCTTCTGAATAGCTATGTACTTAAAACTTTAAATTTAATCTTTCTCCTTGCAAGGATGAAATCACTTCATGAAAACCTGCCCCTCCAGCAATAGAGTCACAGGACATTGGTAAAATCCAAGTTGAGTGCCTTTTGTGAGACCCATTTGAATAATTCTTTGCTGAGAATTAAAAAAAGTTAAAATGTTTATTTCCATGACCTTTGTATAAAATAGAACTGTTTATTAAAGTGCCCAACTTAACCTGCTTTATGAAAAATATTTTAAAAATGGAAACTCTTCAGTTAGCATTGTCTTTCTTCCCTGATCATTTCTATCTTCCCTCCCAGCACTGTCTTTTAACCCAACCTTCTCTGTGGACCACTCCTAAGTGCCAGGATATTGTGGCAGCTCACATGGCTGGTGATGGGCCCATAGTAGTATTCATTATTTGTGGGAGCTAAGAGTTCATTCCCATTCTTCAGTAAACAGTGTAAGGACAAAGCTTCAAGCAAAGTCTCAGGACCTCATCTTGAACTAGATTCCCACAACCTAAGATATTTCTCTTAGAAATTTTGAACATTTTATTTATTTAATATTATTGCCATGTTTGAAATGTGACATAAAAATCTTTAAGTTTTTTAAAAAAAGAAATGATCAATAAAATAATGTTTTTTAAAAAAAGATAAAAATTATGAGAAAAGGAAAAAATGGAAACAAAGTCTTTGTAAATAGGGAAGGGTGGAGGGGGTGAAGGGAGGACAGGGAATGGGGAAAAAATAAGAACCAAGGTGCGTCACTTGCAAGTACAAACACCCAGTGATAAATGTAGACGTATTGTATACCTAAAATGTACCAATGAAAGAATATAAGGGAAAAAAAACTGGAGAACGCCTTTCAGATTCAGAATATAGTCCTGGGTTACCTATTTCATGAGAATTCCAAATAAAAATGATAAAAATTTTAAAAAATGATAAACTAACAAACATTTTGCTAGACTAATAAAAAGGGAGATGATGCTGAAAGTAAAAATAATAAATAAGCTCATTACACACTATATACATGTATAGAATTATGACACTACCTATAAATTTGTACAATTAAAATCTACTTAAATTTTTAAAAAGAAATGAAAAGGAAACATTACAACCAATACCACCGAAATAAAAAGGATCAGAAGAGACTACTATAAACTTTATTTTCAAACATTTTAAGCAACTTAGAAGAAATGAATAAATTAATGGACACATACAACCTACCAAGACTGAATGGTAAAAAAATGAAAATAAAAACAACTAAATATTAAGAACATTAAGTCATGTAATAAGGTGTCTCCTAGGAGTAGACATCTTCACTTCTAAATTATACCAATCCTAAGAAGAAATAACACAACTCCTTCTCAAACTCTTCCAAACACTTGAAAAGGAGGGAGGGAATACTTTTAAACTGATTTCCTAAGGCCAGCATAACCTTGGCACCAAAGCCAGACAAGGACACTGCAAGAAAGAACTTCAGGTCAGCATTCCCAATGAGACAGATGCAAGCCTCTTCAATAAAAAGCCAGCCACTTAATTGGTCAATGTGTTGTAATGCTCACTCACCACAGCCAAATGAGATTCACCCCGAAATGCAAGTCTTCTGACATACACAGATCTAAACACATAAGATAGCACAGAGTGCATGAAGGACAAAGACTCTATGATCACTTCAGTAAATGCAGAAAATCATTCGACAAAATTCCTTATCCTTTTTATGATGAAAACTCTCAACAGATTAGGTACAGAAGTAATATACCTCAGCTGGGCATGGTGGCTCATGCCTTTAATCCCAGCACTTGGGAGGCTGAGGCAGGAGAATCTGTGAGTTCAAAGCCAGCCTGGGCTAAATAGTGAGTTTACAGCCAGCCTGAACTACATAGTGAGACCCTGTCTCAAAAAAAAAAAAAAAAAAAAACGTACTCAACACTCTGCAATAGAGATGACTTTGTGTGATTTCTCATGGAAAGAAGTGTTCAAAAGCTCTCACTATCTGAATCTGTCTCTTAAGTTTCATGACAATTCTGAAAAGGTGACTATTTCTTTAGCTTTCTCTTATATGCAAATATTAAAAACCTCAAGACTTAAAGAAAAAGTGGATGTGGAGAAAAGGGAACACCTACATCATGTTAAAATTGGTAGAGCCATTATAAAAAATAGTATAGAATTTTCTCAAAAAGTAAAAATAGAACCACTGTATGACCCAGCTATCATAGTACTGGCCGTATCTCCCAAGGAAATGAAGTCAGGATATCAAAGCGATACATGCACACTGTGTTCACGGTGACATTATTCCTCCGAGCCAGGATGTGGAACAATCCACAGTTTAACCCTAATGTCCACCAGTAGATGAATGGATAGAGAAAACTCAGCACATACACAAAACATGATGAAGCTGGCCTGGATGATATTAAATGAAATAAACTAGGTGTAGAAATACAAATTGTGCACTAATGTGTCATATACAGAGTCTACAGAGTGGATGTAATACTAAAATGCAGTTCATGAGGTGCAGGGGAGGGAGGATGGGCAGTTAGTTGCCAAAGGGTAGAAGGCTTGTTTCATTTTGAAAGATGGAATGAATTAAGAGCTCTATTATACACCATGTGGATTATAGTTAATGATGGTGTATCGCAGTTTTGAAAATTGCTGAGTAGATTAAGTGTTCTCATCACATGAAAATATTAAGTATATGAGGTAATGCGTAAATCAATTATCTCAGTGTATCCCAGTCCATAATGTACAAGTCTCAAAACAACATGTTAGTCATAATACATATACAGATTAAAAATTTTCACTTAAAAATAAATTTTAACAGGGCCAGGGATTTAGCTCAGTGGTTCCGGCACCTGCCTCAAAAGCGCAAGGTCTCGAGTTCGATCCCTGGTGCCAAAAAAATATAAATAAATAAATAAATAAATAAATTTTAACAAACCTTGAACTTTCCAAAACTCAGCTTTTGGTTCTCTAATCAAATAGAGGGCTTGAGGGATATTGAAGGGAAATGTCACACGTTAGTGTTAGAGCTCCGCTCGAGTGTTTTCTCGTCACTGAAAAAGTGGTTGTCTTACTTGTCAGAAACCATATATACTTAGTTCGACTGTTTTCCCTACCTGTGTAGAGCACTCAGGTTTTTGGACACATATTAGTATTTTGGAAACTCCTATAGTGCATCCTTGCTTCAAATTTTATGCTGTATTACATTTTAAGTCATCTGTAGTTTTACAATGAGTTTATTTCTTTTTTTTAAAACTTCTCCATTTACTCATGTTTTTCTGGTCAAATTTTTAAGTTAAGTGCTGTTCAAAACACAAGGATATGTTTATCCTCTATTATTTTTGCAAATGACATATCAGTTTCTGCTGTCTTAACCCATCTTACTGCTTCATTATAAAAAGACAGGGAACTTACGGCTGTTGAGTTAGTTTGCCAAGCTGGTCTAGAAGATTAACTAGGTGAACACACAGATCAGTGGCTCACACCCCCAGATTCAGGTGGAAAATCACTAGGTGGTCACCAATCTGACTCGCGGGCCTGCATCACAGACTCCGAATCGACAGGTCTGCTATTATTATCGAAGATTGCAACGGACTCTAATGCAAGTGAAAATGCAAGTTAGAAATACTGATACAGATTGAAGACTTTACATATTTAGACGATCAGAAGAGAAATGAACAGTTCCTTTAGGTAAGATAGAACAGTGGTGGCACATTTGATTGATTCTTCAGTGTGTTATCCTCCCCCCTCCTTTACCCAGCAAGTACTTCCAAGGAACGGATGCTCTGTGTGCAGACAGTGTTCCGGGTTCTAAGGATGTAGACATGAAGGGCGCCTTTCCTCGAGGAGCCAGCATGACATTTGTGAGGTATTAAAGTACAAATGAGAGAGGGGACTGAGGGCACAGTTCCTATCCCTCACCAGAGAATCCCCTACAGTGATCTGACAACAATCCCAGGACAGAGGGAGGAAATAAATTTTCATGAGTTTTCTGCAGTGTGACTCTAAGATTAGTTGAGTGTTTCAAGGTCTCCCAGAGGTTAGTGTTTAACTGAAAAATATCCTCTTTCTGGTGCACTTCTGCCATTCCTTCAACTGACAATGATATTTCTGTCCCGACATGGCCCTACCAACTTTTTCAGTGAACCGAGAACTTCTTTGTTCCTGAAACTGTAGGCGAGTGGGTTCAGGGAAGGAGTCAGGAGGGTTCCGAACAGAAACAAACCCTGGTTCAGCTTTGGAGTCTTGACAGAGCTGGGTCTCATGTAGATAAACATCCCAGGACCAAAATAGAGCCCCACGACACAGAGGTGAGAGGAGCAGGTGGCCAGAGCCCTGCTCCTGCCTTCTGGGGAGCTCATTCAGAGCACAGCCAGGAAGATGACAACGTAGGAGGACAAGATGAGGGACAAGGGCAGCAGCAGAACCAGGACGCTGGTCGCCACCACGGCCTTCTCGTAGACCAAGATGCCCTCACAGACTATCCTAAGGACTGCCATGACTTCACAGAAGAAGTGGGGGATCTCTCTGGGGCTGCAGATGTGAAAATGTAAGGTGAAAGCAGTGTGGACCAGGGACGGGAGCGCCCCTCCAGCCCAGCCCACGGCAACCATCTGCAGACAAACCCTGGGGCTGACTACGACCGTGTACCGGAGGGCTTTACAGATGGGCACATAGCGGTCGAAGCACACGAACGTTATGAGGATGCATTCTGCAATGGCTACCGTCAGGGAGAAGAAAATCTGAGTCCCACAAGCCAGGAAGGAGATTCTCCGCCATCCAGAGAAGAAGTTGGTGAGCATTTTGGGAATGATGCTGGAGGTCAAAGTGAGGTCCATTAAAGAGAGCTGGCTGAGCAGGAAGTACACGGGGGTGTGCAGCCGGGAGTCCAGCCAGATGAGGACGATCAGGAGAGTGTTGCTGGTGAAGGCGGCTGTGAAAATCAGGAAGATGATGGTGACCAGCACTGTGACGTGTCTGAACTCAGGGAGGAAGCCCAGGAGTGTGAAATCAGTGGGTTCTGTGTCATTTCCTCTAGCCATGGCTGTGAAGGACAGTGAGTGGGAAGAGACAGGAATGTCACAGAGGTAAAGCACTTTGCTATTAAAGCTTGAGACGGAACTTGACTATGATGATAGTGGCAAATATAAAAAATATTCATCCGTGATCACTTGAATCAATTCTTAATAATTTTGTACTTCTGGTCCATGTGCTAATGTAATTTAGAACCAGAGTATGTATATTATAATAAATCATTCAATTTACTTTTTTCATATTTTCATATATTACTACAAATTTTTAGCAATTTTACATGTCTTTACTCTACAAAATATGCCATTGAGTTGATAATTCACAACCTCCATTTGCACATTATTCAGTTTTTCGTATTTTCAGAAAATGATACTGGCTCCATTTTCAACTTTTCAGTGATTTCTGTATTAAAACATTTCTGAAAATTTTTCAGGTCAAATATTGTTGGCCAGAAATAAAAGAATGTGAATTTAACCTATAGGAGGATTTAAAAAAATATTTCTGCTTCACTTAGACTTTCTGGCACTGTAATCTAAGGGGAAATACAGTCCGTTATTAGGGCTGCTCCTGGAGCTTTACATACTCCAGTTATTTAAGCTTTTAACCTAATTGGCCCAGTATTCTATCTGGGGAAAACATTCATTTTATTTACATGGTCCATAATAAATTTAGATTGTTAGTAATGGGTAAAGGTTTCTTTTTCTGCGATCATGTAAGTTTCCTGCTGTTGAAAAATTCATACAACTCTCAACTCCTAGTTAAAGCAATTATTTGTATGACAAGCACAGGGAAAATTTTAGGGCTTGTTTCCTCCAGGGTTACATTTTCCTCAGGCTTCCTTAGCTATGTACAAGGTGTGATTGAAGACTATGTTGAATATTTAAATTTTAAAAAAGTTTATTATAATAAAAGACACTACCATAAAACTCACTCAAAATCCTTCTCACTTCAAACACACTTATCCCATCACCCTTGCCGCTCTCTGAGGCAGTTCCGGAGTCCCCTTCTGTGAGTGTCTTTAGTGCACTGTTCCTGAATTCATTGAAAATGTTTTCCTCTCCTGGTCATTCTGACTGTGGGGAAGAGCCAGAAGTCTCACAGTGCCAGATCCGGAGAATAAGGTGGGTGAGGACACGTGTAATGTTTCTACAAGGCCAACTTTCCATTGGATGCCACTTGGCAGTAACATTCACAGTATTTTTCATAATATCTCTTCAGGACACTCAGGAAAGAAGACTTCCAGAATGGTTTGAGACAGTGGCAAGAACAATGGGATAAGTGTGCTTGAAGTGAGCTGGTGTATTTTGATGGGGATTAATAACAATGTGTCTCTTACTGTAATACATTTTACACATTTAAGTATATTTCGATCATGCCGTGTATAACCACCTTGCTGTTATCTATAAAACTGTTTAAATGGCTACAGAAATTCTTCCTGAGTTTACAACAAGAGATAACATACCCATCTTCTCCTAAAGCTTTTATGTCTCATTACATGAACCTAACGAGAACAGTAGGAAGAAAGGACAATTGCAAGAAAATTGCAGTCAATGGAAATTGTTTTAGAAATTCTAAAAATAGAGACATTTATGCCAATAGCATATGTTAAAAACATAACTATAAACTTAATGTAAGAAAAGATTCACCTCGAAGTGTTTATAAAGTTAGCTCAACAGCCTAAAGAGGAAAAACACTCCTTCTATTAGTTATCCAAAACTGATAAATTTTATCATGATTTTAAAAGAATCCTAGAAAACCAATAGTAGAATAAGATACATTAGTATCCTATTCTGTTCTCTTCTTGACAGCCCATGACACTCATTTCTTCATGAAGTCATTAAAAACCTAATTATAAAAGGTTCTATCCTACCCTCTTCTGAAAGGTCTGTTTATTTTGTATGTGTCAACATCAACAGGACACAAATCTTCTTTGCTCTACAAAGAAAAGTCTAGAAGAATTGGTGCCTTCTTCCCCTTAGGAAGAGTGAAAAGTGGTCTCAAATGTTTGGATGTTGCTTAGTTCTCCAGTTCGTGTGCTGTTTTGCTTTCAACTCGCTGCTTCCATCCAGACCCTTGATTTAAATTTGTTCACCAAAATAGAGATTGATTTTGAATCCAGAGGTTGTTACAGCAGAAAAGATCTTAGTACACTCTCCATGTGCAGTGCACTCATTAAAGAGGCACAGCTTCTCAAAGACACCAGCGGACCACTATGGGCTGGCACTCCCGGAAGTTGCTGATCTCTACACATCCAGCCTTTATTAGAACTCTACACAACCATTAGTTTTGAATCAAGAGATTGTGTACTGACCATGTCTACGACATGTTACTGGATGTCTGACTGACTTGAGGAGCTTCCTTACTTTAGATGTGGAGGTAGGCTTAAGATTTAAAATGCTTGATCTCATGGAAATAAAAAAGCAGAACTATGGATGCCAGAAGCTGTGAAGGGTAAGGGGGCAGCAGAATAAGGAGAGGTGAGCTAAGGGATGCAAGATTCCAGTTAGACAGAAGAAGTGAGTTCTAGGATCTACAGCACAGTGAGTGGCTATGATCAGTGACATGCTGTATATTTCAACATGACTACCTGTGAGGACTTTGTTCCCAGCACAAAGAAATGTAAACGTTTGAGGTAACAGATACATTGATTACTCACGTCACACATTGTATCCAGGTACTGAAATTTCACACTTTACCCCATATGTATGTATAGTCTTTGCATGTCAATTAAAAACCTTTCAATAACAAAATTTTCCAGCTGGCATCTGTTCTTTCCTTCCTTACAGTGAGTCTTGGTGCAGTTGATAGGTTGTCTGTGCCTGACCTGACATCATTAAATAGAGAGATACTGAGATTGCAGAGTGGTGGACCTTTGAAAAGTGTTTAACTTTGCAGGGCTCTGCAGTTTAACTGTTATGTTATGCAGTCTCCAATCACCTTATTTCTAGTTCAAATGCTGCTTCCCAAGGCTTTTAGCATTTTAAGATTGGCTGGGTTCTGTGATTATAAAATCTCATCTGAAACTCTCTTCACACAGCCTGGATTGAAATGTCAGTGTCGTTGTTTTTGATTACGTTCACGAACATCTGTTTCAACCGCTAAGCCATGAGATTAATGATGGAAGAAACTGTGTTAGCTAGACTAAGCTTTCAGACTTTGGATCCAGGGCATAGACTGTTAGGGGCCTTTATCATGAAAATTACACATAAAGGCAATGATTTATTTTTATCTTATTGGCTTCAAAGCACTGTCCAACATTTTATCTCACTGGTATATGGGAAGAGACTCCGCATTACCATGTCCACCTAGGAAATGATCCATGAAGGTGCGCCCAACTTTGTCTCATCACACAGCTGAACAGTAGCTGTTTTGCGCGCTGTCAGGTCCCTGTTTGCCAAGATTGTGCCTCACAAATGCTCTTGAGAAATGACTGCAGAATTATCCTTATGAATGGATTTTCACAAACCAGAAAAATTGGTTTACTTCTCTACCAAGGTGCTTGCCTCGTGGTTTGTGTTATCATTTCTTGGAAAGTGTGAAGCACGCAGAATTCCTTCTGCCCACTGGTGCTGACACACAGTTGAAATCTAGGCTGTTTCATAGGAAGTGCGACTGACAGATGCAGCACCTCCTTCTGCCTCAGCTGGGCAGCTCGCTCATTCTCAGCATCTCAGCACTGCCTGCCACCCATTAGGGGCGCGTGTGTCTGGGTGCCCAGTCCTCCAGGAATCCTCTGCTATGGTACCATTAAGGTGTTTCCAAACTAGCTAGTAACTACATTTTCAGGAATTAATTTTTTTGTTAATTTTTTGATTAACGTCACTGTCATTTCCCTAGAGGCTCATTGTGAACATTTCTTTTGCTTTTAATCATTGATCCCACATACTCATGAAGTTATTGATTTTTCTAATTCCTTACATTTTTCTTTCTTTTCTCTTCCTGGGAGCTATACTCTAGACCAATTTCTTCTGCCTGGAATCCCCTGTATCCTATGTCCCTAAAATCTTTCCCTACTTCCAGGTCAAATTTAAGTCTTACTTCTCTCTGACTCTTATTTAATTTCCACAATGGACACAACATTTTTCTAGTTCTGATTTCCCTCTGTGCCTGTCAGTCAGTCTGTCTGCCTGTATCTTTTTGCTTATCACAGCTGCATTGCACTGTTACTGAACTCCCACCATTTCTTTACAGTTACAATGGGATTTTAAGGTAGGGAAGCACAGTGTTTTGCCTCAATCTTCTGTTGGTAGATAGATGATCGTAGTCTCAGTGGATACTGACTTAACACTGATAATTAAAATAAATTTCATTAAAATCAAATGCTAAACTGCACTGGGAATTTCTTTCAGCTAATGTAAAAATAATAAATCCATAAAGCCTGGAATAATATAGCAAAATGATTTATAAAAAAGATTGCAGTATGGAAAATAAGTACTGCAATAAAAGTGTACCCCTGTGCCAGCAGATGGAAGAAAGGACATTTATCTAGGTGGAAAATTGGTGAATGATCAAAGAACACTTTACAGGAGAAAAATATTATCTGAGTTGGATCTTGTAGGTCAAGTAAGAATTTTCTATGAAAATAATCCATGGAGGAAATTTAACCATGATGAGCTGCATTTGAGGCCAAGGTAGATGGATGAACATACTTTTATGGAAAAGTTTAGTTGTCCATAATTTTTTTCCATTGTTTATTGATACATTTTAGATATAAAAGTTACATTCATCATTGGGATCTTGTACCATTACATGAGTCTCTTGGTTCTTATTTTTTCCCCTTCCCCTGCCCTCCCTTCACCCCCTACACCCTTCCCTATTTGCAAAGACTTTGTTCCCATTTTTTTCCTTTTCTCACATTTTTTCTTTTCCCTTCTTTCCTTTCCCCTACCCCCCCACTTCTCCTACTCCTTTAGACCTTTTCTTCCTATTACACAGTATCAATTATGTATTTTAAAAATTACAATATCAAAATTTAGAGGACATTACCACAGATTTTAAAAGGATATAGAAA